ATAGAATAGAATAGAATAGAATAGAATAGAATAGAATAGAATAGAATTCTTTATTGGCCAAGTGTGATTGGACACACAAGGAATTTGTCTCTGGTGCAAATGCTCTCAGTGTACATAAGATAAAAAATAAAATACATTCATCAAGAATCATAAGATAAATACCTAGTGATAGCCCGAATAGAATAGAATAGAAATTAGAATAGAGTAGAATAGAAGTTAGAATAGAAATTAGACTAGAATAGAAATTAGAATAGAATAGAAATTAGAATAGAACAGAAAGAAAAGAAAAGAAAATAGAAAATTCTTTATGGCCAAGTGTGGTTGGACACACAAGGAATTTGTCTTGGTGCAAATGCTCTCAGTGTCCATAAAAGAAAAGATACATTTGTCAAGAACCATCCAGTACAACACTTAATAATAGTCATAGGGTACAACAAGCAATCAATTCATACCAGGAAACAATCAATATAAATCATTAGGATACAAGTGACAAAGTTACGGTCATAAGTGGGAGGGGATGGGCGATAAGGAGTGATGAGAAGATTAATAGTAGTGCAGACTTTGTAAAAGTTGGACAGTGTTGAAGGAATTATTTGTTTAGCAGAGTGATGGCGTTTGGGGAAAAACTGTCCTTGTGTCTAGTTGTTCAGGTGTGCAGTGCTCTACAGCGTCATTTTGAGGGTAGGAGTTGAAACTATTTATGTCCAGGATGTGAGCAGTCTGAATTATTACTATTAACACGCTCTGATGCTGAGGAGTTCTACTCCCTCTCCCCACCCAAAAAGAAACCTCTTCCAAATGCAAAACACAAGCAGAGGAGTTTCAGTTTCACAGCACCAAGCAGCTTTAGTACAGAACAGTTGAGCTAAGCCACACCCAGGCTCCTTACTGTCTCCTTGCTCACACAGCAAATACTGTTTCAGTTTCCAAGGAGCCCTCAACTCTCTCACTCACTGACAGGATGGTAGCCAGATGAATACCCATGGATGCTGGTAGGCAGAGGCAGAATTTTTTCCCCTCCTTATTTTCCTCCACAAAAATTAAGCCCCACTATATTGTTTCGTAGCAAAGCATGGGTTTAAAGCTAGTTTAAAAATAAGATGATGGTTTAGTCCACTGAAAAGAAAGGATATAGATCCCTGCATCCTGATTAACAACCTGAATAGTTAGCCAGAAGCTCAAACGTTCTAACCTGGGAATTGCTTATCCCCTAGCAAATCAAAATAAACCTTAATTAAATCCGAAGGGAGTTAATAGGTTTTTTTTTTCCTTAGAAGCCAGAATGAATCCTAGAATTATCGAAGCAGGAAACGTGTAGGAGCAGGGGGAAAAAAATATGTACCATCTTTTTATAATCTACCCCTTCCTGCTCCATCCACAGCTCCATTGATGGGAGCTGGAGTCCAGGAGCGGCTTATAGAATCCATGGAATTCTAGGGCTGGAAGGGATCTTAAGAGGTCTTGTAGTCCAACCCGCTGCCCAATAGCTTGACTCCCTATTCTTTGGGGCAGCTCCTCAAATATTGGAAGATGCTCTTCTGTCTCCCCTGGTCTTTCTCTTCCGTAGCCAGGCCCAGTTCCTGCAACCGTTCTTCGTATGTTTTATCCTCCAGTCCCCTCATCCTCCTGGTTGCTCTTCTCTGCACCTTTTCCAGAGCCTCAACCTCTTTTTGACACCTCTTCTTTATCGCAAGTCCTGAGATATTGGAAGACTGCTATCATGACACTCCATCCTCCTTTTCCTTAAACTAGACATATCTTCTGTCCATCCATGGTTTGCTCAGATGTCTGTCTTTCTTTCTCTCTTTCTTGTCTCTCTCTCTCTCTCCCTCCCTCTCGTCTTCCTTCTCTTCCATTTGCTTTGGAGAATAGCTTGACTCCCTCTTCTTTGGGGCAGCCCCTCAAAATATTGGAAGATGCTCTCCTGTCTCCCCTGGTCCTTCTCTTCCCTAGACTAGCCAGGCCCAGTTCCTGCAACCGTTCTTCTTCGTATGTTTTAAGTCTCCAGGCCTTTAATCATGTCAGTTGTTCTTCTCTGCACTATTAGCTACAGATAGTCCTGTAGGAAGGGACCTTGGAGGTCTTCTAGTCCAGCCCCCTGCTCAAATAGGAAACCCTCTTCCATTTCAGACAAGTGACTGTCCAGTCTCTTCTTAAAGACCTCCAGGGATGAAGCACCCACAACTTCAGGTGGCAAGCTGTTCCACTGGTTCATTGTTTTCACAGTCAGGAAATTCCTCCTTACATCTAGGCTGCTTCTCTTTTTGATGAGTTTCCACCTGTTGCTTCTTGTCCTGCCTTCAGGTGCTTTTGAGAACAGGTAGACGCTCCTCCCCCCCTCTCCCAACCCTTCCTCAAGGACAGGAAGACAACTTGTTAGCCCTAGTTCAATAAACAGACAGGCTGTTGTCCTTGCCAGCAGCTCCCACGCAGAGCCTCATTTGCAAAGGGAGAGGCCACGGGATGAAAGGTTGCCCTGTTCCAAGAATTGCACTTCATGCTGGCTGGAGAAGAACAATAATGCACAGCCCTAACGGGCGTAATAATGTTGCTTCACATTCCCAAGGCACAGCGGCAGGCAACAACGGGTGGAAAAACCTTTTCAAGGGGCGTTCTGGCAGTTCCAGCTTGCTTGGGGATTTATCTTTAAGGTGGGGGTGGGGGAAACCTGTTTCAGAAGGTGACCTCGGGGTCATTTAGACTGACCCGCTGTTCAGCGGGGCGAGGTTTATTTCGCAAAACGCCACCGTGTTATTCTGCAGATGGACAACAAGCAACACCGAATGTTAGGGTGGCCTTTCTTTGAAACACTTCACGTCTTCGGGAATCAAACCATTTTGGGAAAATGGTTTTGAAAAATGGGCTGGGAAGCCACTTAAGTAGACGATTTAAAGCCCAAAATACACCGAATGAATAAGTGACTTCCTGAGCAGCCTTTTCAAAACCGTCTTTCTTGTGCGCATGCATTTTTTAAAATTTAATTTTATATTTATTTGTTTGTTTGATTTGATTTGTCAAATGCTTACTAGAGAATAGGTAGAAGTATAAACGTAAGAATACAGGAAATAGGTACGAATAAATGGGGACAATAGGACAGGGATGGTAGGCATGATGGTGCACTTATGCACGCCCCTTATAGACCTCTTAGGAATGGGGTGAGGTCAATAGTGGATAGTTTGAAATTAAAGGAGTGGGGGTTAGAGGATGTAACAACAGTCAGGTAGTGCATATATTTTGTTTTTTGTTTTTAATTTCTTTTCTGAAGCTCTCAAATTGATGTAGGGAGGCAAGCCCTTGACAAAGGATCATGAATTGGGAACAGAAATTCTTTTGCAAGCAGGAAATTGTTAAGCTAGCTGGTGACTTTGCGCTGGTCCCCCTTGCCCAGCCCAGCCCACCTCACAGGGTTGTTGTGCTGGGTAAAACAGGAGGAGGGACGAGGATTAGGTATGTTCACCACCTTGTATTATTTGTAAAAATAATAAAGGTGGGAGACAGGTAGGTAGGTAGGTAGACAAACAGACAGATAGAGGGTAGAGATAGACAGATAATGGATAGATAAGGGATAGATAGATAGATGGATAGATGTACATGATACATAGATGATAGACAGAGGGTAGAGATAGATAATGGATAGATGGTAGATAAATAGATGATGGGTAATGGGTAGAGATAGATATAGATAAATAGATATGGGTACATGATAGATAGAAATATAGATAATGGATTGATGATAATGATGGATAGATAATGGGTAAATATAGATATGGATACATGATAGAGAGAGAGAGAGAGAGATGGATACATGATTGACAGACAGACAGACAGACAGACAGATGGTAGAGATAGACAGATAATGAATAGATGATAAATAAATATGGATAGATAATGGATAGATAGAGGTAGAGAGACTGACAGACATCCTTAGGAACCCCTTTTAGATCTGCTCACCAGCAACCCTGCGAGGTAGGCTGGCTTGAGAGGGCCTGGCCCAGATTCACCAAGCGGGTCCCCCTGGGCAGAGCCCTTTCCCCCCCCCCCCCCCCCCCCCCCTCCCTCCCCCCCTCCAGCGCGAAGCCGGAGCGCGCCGCGCAGCCAGGATTGACCACCGCCGCCCCCCGTCGCAGGGGCCACTTCCTGTTTCCGAGGCTATAAAAGTGCCGCTTCCGGCGCCCGGCTGGTTTGGTAGCGAGGCGGCGGCGGCTGTGCCTGGAGGGTTCGCGATGTGTGTCTCAGGTGCGTTGCCATGGGGACGGCGGAGGGAGGGGGGCGCGAGGCCGGGGTTGCTATGGAGACGGCCGGTGGCCCGGGAGCCGGTGGGGGACGAGGGCTCCCCTCGGGACGGGGGGCGGGAGGGGGGGAAACACAAACGACGAGCGTGCCTCTGAGCACGTGCAGAGTGCTTTCTGCCTGTAGCCCGCTTTGGGATAACACCGGGGGGGGGCTCCTAAAAATAGACCCCCCCCCAAAAAAAGCAAAGCCTAAATCTTCCATCTGCTCCAAATTTGACTTTTCATTCATTTAAATTTAAATCAGTGATTTAAAATTGGGGGGGGGGAAGGACTTCAACTCCCAGAATTCCCCAGCCAGCAAAGAATTCTGGGAGTGGAAGCCCCTCCCCAATTTAAAGCAACCAGATTTTAAAAATAATAATAATTAAAAGAAAAAAACCCCCGGGATTGGGGGGGGTGGTTTTTGGGGGGGGGGGGGCAGCCATATGGAGGTAATTTGAGGAGGGGGTGGGTTGACACAGTGGGATGCCACCCCAAAATTGGGACCCTATGGATGCCAATTGAAGAAAAATATATTATATATATATATATATATATAAATGTACAAGACAGGCAGTGCTCGACTCACTTGTTGAGGGACCAAAGTCACAATGGCACTGGAAAAAAAAGTGACATGCAACCATTCCCCCCCCCCCCCCCCCCTTGACCATGGTCGCGGCATCAAAATTCAGACACTTGACCACCGACTCGTATTTACGATGGTCGCAGCGTCCCGTGATCTCCTTTTGCAACCTTTTGATCAGCCAAAATCGAGGGAGGGAAGGCAGATTTACTTAACAACTGAGTGACTAACTTAACAACTGCAGGGATTCACTTAACAACAGCGGCAAGAAAAGTCATAAAATGGAGCTTAACAAGTGCCTCGCTCAATGACATAAATTTGGGCTCAGTCGTGATCATAAGTCAAGGAGTTACCTGTCCATAAATTTACAATGGACGGTGTATGTGACATCTTCATTATCCTCCAATTTCTGTGGCTGTGAAATTGTTCCCCCAAAAGAATGAGAATGAAAAAAAAACTTATTAAATTCCATAAATTCATTCTTTTATTCTCCTCTTGGGACCCATCCCTCCCCTCCCAGGAATTTGGGGGAGAAAAATAAAAATGTGCCACTCTTGACTTTGGCAATTCGTTTTCAGAGTATTCAGTTTGACGGGTGGCTTTTAAAAATGATACCCCCATGCTTTTTCCGTGTATATATTTTACAGTTTGCGATGTGTTTTTCCCCCATTCCAATGAAAAGAGAATATTTGTTGCTCAGGCTAGAACTTGTGTGTGTGTGGTTTTTTGTGTGTGTGTGTGTGTGTGTGTGTGTGTGTCCGTCTTTGGGGCTCTCTGAGCTTTGTGGTTTCTTGGCAGACATTTCATGACCCAAACTAGGTAACATCATCAGTGCCGCTTTTTGGGTTGGTTTCATTTTTGCTGTACCAATTGGTCACGGTAAAGAGGGACAGCCCTGTCAGTCGGAGAGGTGGATAAATATTTAGGGTTGCACTTTGTCCTTGTTATTTTTCCTGCTTTTTAAAAAGGCTGCACAAAAGTGACACGTAAGGCGATCCAGCAAGCAGCAGAAGCAAATCCTGAAAGCAGAATAAACGTGGGCAGCTGGAAGGTGCAGCCACATAAAAACCACATTTGAGCCCCAACCGCTATACGTTAAACTCTCGCCCACAACCAAATTAAATGTCTCAACCGGCTTGCAAAAAGTCTTTTGTTACGATACCTCAGAGGGCATTTCCTCTCTGTGAGCAAGCAATCGACGAGCCATCTCAAGATCGGGAATATTTTTTCCAAAACGTGGCTTTGTCCTCACGTGGCTTATCTTTGCATTAATAGAGAGAGAATCAGGATTGCAAGAAATTCTAATACAACTTTACAAAGCTTTAGTAAGACCCCACTTGCAATATGTCTACGAAGATTAGTTTAATTTAGTTTACCTTATTGTCATTGCATGTCCTACAATGAAATCAAACACCATCTTCAGTGCGCATCATGACCATGAAAATAAACACAAACACACCTCCTTCACATTCTATACAATTGAATGGAGAACCCCTGATATTGCATTCATATTGCGCTATACAGTAGAATTCAAAAGAGCTACTGCCCTGGAATAGAAGCTGTTTTTCAGCTTATTTGTCCTTGTTTTTATTATTCTGTACATCTGCCAGATGGTAATAGTTAAAAAAAAAAAGGGTGCCCAGGATGAGATGGATCTTTTGAACTTTCTTAAGGCAGCGGGAGCTATAAAGCTCTTCCAAAGAGGGGAGAGGGCAACCAATGATCCTCTGGGCAATGACATTAACCCTCTGGAGTGACATCCTGTCTGCCCAGGTGCAATTGGCAAACCACTGGTTAATTGTCCTCACTATTAGGAAGTTTCTCCTTAATTCCCAGTTGCTTCTCTCCTGATTTAGTTTCCATCCATTGTTCCTTATCCTGCCTTCAGGTGCTTTGGAGCATAGCTTGACTCCCTCTTCTTTGGGGGCAGCCCCTCAGATACTGGAACACTGCTGTCATGTTCTTCTTTGCATTAAACTTAAGACATACCCAGTTCCTGCAACCCATTCTTCATAAGTTTTAGCCTCCAGTCCCCTAATCATCATTGTTGCTGGATGATTCTCTAGTCATCCAGGTCATGGTTGTCCCAAAGGTGTTTTTTCCAAGAGGCAACTGGACTTTTGCTTGGAAAATCTGAGAAAGCCCAGCTGCCTCTTGGAAAAAGCACTGTTGGAACACACCTGGAATACTGCATCCATATCGTGAGCGGCAGGACGAGGAACAATGGATGGAAACTGAGCAAGGAGAGAAGCCACTTGGAATTCAGGAGAAACATCCTGATAGTGAAAACAATTAACCAGTGGAACTGCTCGCCATCAGAAGTTGTGGGTGCTCCATCACTGGAGGTTGGGTTAGTCTAGTCTAGAGAAAAGAAGAATTAGGGGTGACATGATAGCAACATTCCAATATCTGAGGGGCTGCCCCCAAAGAAGAGGGGGTCAAGCTATTCTCCAAAGCCACTGAAGGCAGGATAAGGAACAACGGATGGAAACTAATTAAGAAGCAAGTGGGAATTAAGGAGAAACTTCCTAATAGTGAGGACAATTAACCAGTGGAACAGCTGGCCACTAGAAGTTGTAAATGCTCTAACACTGAAGGCTTTTAAGAAGAGATTGGAATGGTATAGGTTCTTCTGCTTCAGCAGGGGACTGGTCTAGAAGACCTCTAAGATTCCTTCCAATTCGGTTATTCTGACCTTCCTTCCCTCCCTCCCTCCCTTCCTTCTCCATCACTGGTAGTTTTTATGAAGAGGCTGGACGGCCATTTGTCTGGAATGGTATAGGCCGGGTCTCCTGCTTGGTTGGACTAGAAGACCTCTGAGGTCCCTTCAAAACTCTTATTATTGTATGTTCCTCCTTTATTTCTTTTCAATTATAACAGGGTTAAGCTTGAAGAAATCCGGGGCGTTCCTCAAAGCCTTGAAAGGAGAACCTCGCTATCGCCTGGCCCAGAATGTGGCTACGTCAACGGATTTCCTGGACGGAAGCCTCGACCGGGACATTCTCCAAAGCACCCTGCAGGTCTTCCAGCACGCGGTGCCGGCCGAAGGGAAGCCGATCACCAACCAGAAGAATTCAGGTAAACCGCTCTCCGCATCGAAAGCCTAGTCCTCGATTTGTGACCACCCTTGAGCCCCAGAAAGGGAGCGGTGCAGTGGCCTAGAGGCGGAGCTCTCGCGTCCCAATCGGGAGGCTGTGAGTTCGATCCTAGGTGTCGAGACAGATATTTCTCTCTCTGGGCCCAATGCTGAACAAAACTCCGTATTGGCAACAGGGAAAGGCATCCAGCCAGGAAATTACTCTGCTAGCTCCATTCCCTGCAAGGGATTATGGGGGGTCGTTAAAAGAGGATGAAGGGACGCAGTGGCTCAGTGGCTAAGACACTGAGCTTGTCGGTCAGAAAGGTTGGCCGTTTGGCGGTTCGAATCCCTAGCGCTGCGTCGCGGAGTGAGCTCCCGTTCCTTGTCCAAGCCGCTTCTGCCAACCTAGCCGTTCGAAAGCATGTAAAAAAAAAAATGCGAGTAGAAAAATAGGGACCCCTTTGGTGGGAAGAGGACAGCGTCCCGTGTGCCTTTGAAGGTGTTTAGTCATGCCGGCCACAGGACCACGGAGACGTCTTCGGACAGCGCTGGCTCTTTGGCTTTGCAACGGACCTGAGCGCTGCCCCCTAGAGCCGGAAATGACTAGCACGTAGGTGTAAGGGGAACCTTTTACTTTTAAAAAATGAGGAATTGAGCCACAGAAAGTTCCGTTGCTAAGCGAGACCATCATTAAAGCAAGTCCCGCCCCATTTTTTTCCACCTTTCTTTGACCCAGTTCAGTTGAATCGCTGCAGCGGTTAAGTTAGTCCCACGGTTGTTAAGTGAATCTGGCTTCTGGGAAAGATCCCATGACCCCGGGACACTGTGACCGTCATAAATATGAACCAGTTGCCCAAGTGTTCTGATTTTGATCAGGGGATCAGAGAGTCACTAAGTGTGAATAAACAGAGATAACAGATAATCAGAGTCGGAAGGGACCTTGTAGGTCATCCAGTCCAACCCCCCACCCAGGCAAGAGACCCTACACCATTTCTGACAGAAGGCAGTCCGGTCTCTTCTTGGAAGCCTCCAGGGATGAAGCTCCCACAACTTCTGAAGGCGACTTCTGTTCCATGGGTGGATTGTTCTCCCTGTCAGAAAGTTTCTCCTTATTTCCAGGTTGAATCTCTCCTTGGATCAGTTTCCATCCATTGTTCCTTGTCTGGCCTTCGGGTGTTTTAGAGAATAGCTTGACCACCTTCCTCCTCTCTGGGGCAGCCCCTCAAATATTGGAAGATGCTCTCCTGCCTCCCCTGGTCCTTCTCTTCCCTAGACTAGCCAGGCCCAGTTCCAGCAACTCTTCATCGTATGTTTTAGTCTCCTCATCATCTGTTTTATAGTGTGGTGACCAAAACTGGATGCAGGACTCTAGGTGTGGCCTTACTAAGGCTTCATAGAGTGGTATTAGTACTTCCCTTGATCTCAGTTGTATCCCTCTGTTAATGCAATTTAGGATTTCATTGGCTTTTTTGGCTGCTGTTGCACAACATTGGCTCCTATTTAGCTGGTTGTCCACTAAGACTCCGAGATCCCTCACAAAAAAAAATGGTCTCAAGCCAGTTTTTTTTCAGGGCCATTGTAACTTTGGACGGTTGCCAAACAAAATGTAAGTCGAGGACTAGCTATAATTTTTTAAAAAATATTTTTATAAACCTGCTCAGACCTGCCTCTACCTGTTGGCTCTTTTTTTCCCCGGATCGTAACCATCTCAGGCTACCGTTCCAGCCCCCCAAAAAAGCCTTTATTTTTATTTATTCCATTTTTATAGCCACCCATCTTATTCCAGCGACTCTGGCCTGCTGACAAAGTTTTAAGCATATTAAAACAATTAAATACAAAGTTCTAAGCATATTAAAACAATTAAATACATTTAAACAAATTAAAAAATATCCAAGGTGAATATATGCAGCAGCTGAGATAATTAGCCAATAAACAGTTATTAAAAAAACAACAGGGCCCTTGACTCATTCAGTGCCCCAGGCTGGGGAACACAGCCAAGTTTTGAAGGTTTAAAAAAAAACCCTCACGAAAGGTCCTCGACTTATGACCGCAAACCGAGCCTGGAATTTCCGGTTGCTAAGTGAGGCAAGGGAGTTTGGCCTCATCCTAGGACCTGTGTGGTTAAGTCGGTCACGCGGTTCTTAAGTGAATCCGGCTCCCCCATCAATGTTGCTCGTCAAAAGGTGACCCAAAGGGGATCCCATGACCCTCCCCCCCCCGGGGAGCTGTGACCGTCATAAATGTGAATCAGCTGCCAAGCTGGCAGTTTTGATCCCGTGACCCTGGGGGATGCGGTCGGCCGTGGGTGTGCAAAGCGGTCCTAAGCCACTCTTTTCGGGGCCATTGTAACTTTGAACGGTCACTAAACGAATGGCGTAAGTCGAAGGCGTCCGGCTAAGATGGGGGGGTTTGTCAGTTGGGAAGCTTTGGGAGGAGGGGCTTCAAATGCTGTTTTGGGCAACCGGCCTGAGGGGAAACGAGGTCCCTGGACACCTGAGGTGGTTTCCTTTTCTCTTTTCTTTCTTTCTTCTTTTTTTCTTTCTTTCACTGTCCCTGTCTCCCTTTGTTTTTTTCTCTTCCT